TCACCAACATCATTACAGCCACGCCCTCTATGTAAGAGCACAGATTATAGTTTTCTTTTTGGATACATTCTACATTTTGGTACAATGAATGTGCGTGGCCGTTTTGTGCAATCTTGTTCATTATTACTCACGTGCAGTAAAGTTTCCACTTTGTGGTGGACGGGCCTGACCACTAAGGACCACAGAGCTGTGAAATGCTCACCACGGCAGGTGCGAATGGAGCCTCCTCTCCCTGAACTCCAGAGAGGCCTCAGGGTGCCGTCCTACCCCGACCCCTGGCTGGGCGCTCTTACCTGTTCTGGGTCCCCACGGATTTGCCTTTTTCAAAATGCCACACAAGTCGGATTATATACATGGCCTTTGGGGCTCTGCCTTCTCTCACCTAGCAAAAAAGCCTTCTTCTGTATTACCCAGATGTACAGGTATATATGTTATTTATGGTTGGTGTTGTTTGTTTTACCTTGAGATAGGGTCTCACCATATAGTGGCCTTGAATTCACTATGTAAATCCAGGCTGGCCACGAACTCAAGGCAATCCTCCTGCCTCAGCCTTGAGGCTGCTGAGATTATAGGTGTGCACGCTACTCTGGCTTCAAATTACATTTTAAAAACTAAAAAGGATTCCACTTAAAAAACAATTTGAACAAACAAAATGAGAGAAAGTAAACAACAGTTGCTTTCTGGTGCTGGGGGGGCGCTCATAGCTGTGATCCCGGCACTCTGGAGGCTGACTGAGGCAAGAGGAGCAAAGCAGATTCAAGGCCAGCCTGGCATATATAGTGAGTTCAGAGTCAGCCTGAACTACATGATAGGACTTTGTCTCCAAAAACTTTCTTTTCTAGGATTTCTTGACTGATCCTAAAGATCCCTCGCAGCCTTTGCAGAATCCAGTAAAAATCTAACTCTTATCGCTGACAATAGAGAACGGCCTTCAAAAATTTTTTTCTTCTCTAATATTTTAGACCATTCTTGTTCTAAAAGAACTAATAAGGCAGAGAGCGGCAGGCCTGTGCTACAGGTCTCCTCCCGTTGGATGCCTGCCACGTCCTGAGGTAATGCATAGATTAGCATAGGCAAGCAGTATAGACCAGTGATGTGGTTACAGCACCCAGCGCTAAGTTGTAGGGATCACAGTCAAAGGAATTCCCAATCAGTGAGCATACCAAACCTCACTGGCACTTTGATCTTAATTCTACTGCCTTTTATCAAACTGTTGGCTCACGGGAAAATATAGGAGCATCTTATGTCACTTTTGCAGACCACTGGTGTGTCTGGTCTCTCGGCTCCACTCACAAAAGTCAAACATGGCTGCCGCTGGCATCCCATGAAAAGGGGAATGGTGTTAATTGCTACCAACTTGGATTTAATTATTTCACCTCTTCTGCTAAAATATAAAGCTTATGAGGATAGCCATGTCCCACCTATTTTTCTACTACTTTCAACTACATAGAAAATGTTGGCCAAACTAATGAATGAGAAGAAAACAAATGGAAGGCATGAAAACATGTGGCTTCCATCCTCCCTTCATCCTACAGAGGTAGGCCATGCAGGAGCCTCTCTCTTGGAAATCCTCCGGGACCGCAGTGGCTCTTGCCCTGCCTTGTCCTGAGAAGACAGGACGTATGCCTGAGGATACCCCAAAGCGAGAAAAGATGCCACTGCGTGAAGGATGATGGGATGGGGAGAATAAGCAAACAGAAGACTACAGATAATCTCAAGTCTCATAAACCAAGCCTGGTGGCACTCACTGTATTCCCAGCACTTGGGAGGAGAAGGCAAGAGGATCACTCTGAGTTCCAGGCCAGCCTGGGCTACACAGTGGGTTCAAGGGCAGCCTGAAGTACATAGTGAGATCCCATCTCAAAAGAAAATAATCTCATCTCATCAGGCCTGCCACTTTCCCCATCCCTGACAATTCCTATATGATGTTGAAAAGGAGCTAACCACTGTTACTGCTAGTCCACGGTCTGCTCTTGCCCTGGTCTAAGTAAAAATTGTGAAGAGGGGCTAGGGAGATGGCTTAGCAGAATAAGTGCTTGCTTAACAAGCACAACGGCCTGAGTTCAATCCCCGGTTCTGCAAAAA